TACAATGAAAGAGCAATACCTAATCCAACTAACACCACAGCTACAAGCCTTCGGGAAATGTTGTTTGGTAGCACTTATCTACAGTACAAACTAGTAGGATGCCATTGGAACACAACATGGGCTTCAAATACTACCAGAAGGCCCAGGAACAATGCGATTATCCAGACAAGTACGAGAGATATCACGGTTCTCTTTTTTAGTTAAGAGAGCTTTATAATGTTGAGGCTTGACAATGCAAAAGTATCGATTGATTGCTGTGAGTGCCAGAGCAAAAATTGATACAGCACCCCAATAATACGACATGAAGCCATTAAACTGACAGAAGTTGTAATTAAAAGGCCATTCACGTGAAGCTGAAGAAATCTAGAAAATGGAAACACAAAAATGGATAAGATTGTGTCTGCCAGGGCGAGCGCCAATACGTACAAATTGGTGATTGTTCGAAGCCTTCTGTTACGATACATGGCGAGGCAAACCTGAAAGTGTTCCCTGTGAACGACAACACGATTAAAACAACCAAAAATAAGCTGTGCAGTGCAATCCTAGTCACACTTCGTGTATCTTTCACTTGTGTGGAAATCTCCATCGATGAAAACGTAATGCAATGATAAATTAGGTTTAAATTATTGGAAATTATTACAACTGACTGAAAATAACATGGGTGTGTGCATCTTTCATTACTTATCCGCACAATTGCAGCGAGAAAGATATTCAATCAGTGACACAACCTACTCGGAAACATAATTCAGAGTTCTCACAACAGGAGTCGAACCTTACACCCCTCACACCGATTGGGCGCTCTGATCTATCACAGAGTTACAGGAAACTCGTGGGAGCTTAGGCCATATAACTACATGTAGGTTCAAATGCGACAAGCATAATTCATAGTAAATTTTAAACTTAGTAGAAACACAATGATAAATTTATTATTCCGGCAGTCAGTGACACACGTTATTCCGAGTTCTCCCAACAATATTTGAACCTATTACCTTCCAGTACCTCCAGTACACCGGTTGGACGCTTAATCACTTTATAGTTGCAGGCTATACCAATTGTATTGGCAAAGCTAATCATTGAATTTAAAAATTTAAATCTATCAAAGTAACAAAAGCTGCATTTCTAATTCAAAATGGAATATTTTATTACTAAGTTGACGGATAATTTTGGAAACCGCCGTGACACAAATTGTTCTCATTCACTGTGGCAAATGCCAATATTGACGCATGCAATGCACCTGCAATACCAACCATGGTTTCAACTTTAATTTTGTCATCTGACAATATTTTGAAAGGAGCGACCCTATCCTCTCTATTTTACTTTTATCTTTTCCCGACAGTAAAGTAAAGATTGTGTTATACATCTGCGTAAACAGTGTTCGCTATCTGAAGGAAACTCATTCTTTCTATTTTTTGTTATGCGGTTTCATTTTCAGGTAATAACAAACAAAAAATGTAAACAAAAACGCGAAGAAAGGAAGATGTTGCGCAGAAACCGAAAAGAAACCCCATGGGATTTCAAGAAAAAAAAACTGTCGGGTTGGTGAATGGAACTGTGGGTTCAGTAGCTGACAGTTTTTGTCCTAGAATTTTCTCCGTTATTTTATGTTATTAAATACTCAATCACTGTTATTGCATTTCTGCCTTCTGATTGGCTCCTTGCGCCCATGTTATCAGCTCATAACACGGATTCTGCCAAATATGGTAGCTCATAACACCCGCGAGAATTCAATTTGCCGCGACGCGAAAATTTTGCGAACGGTTTCGCGAAAATGGCGGCGAAAAATAGATTTGAAGAACTATCGGCCGTTGAAATACAAGAGCTGTTAGACAATGCCATCCCCAATTCCACAAAAAGAGCTACACAGTTCGGGATGAAAATATTTAATGGTAAGTATCTCTGAAATTCATTACGAAATTGTGAAGACAAGCAATGAAGCAGTGAAGTTGACAACGAATTAATTTTGGCACAATGTTACAATTACATTTTTATTTACCTTTTTTTAGAGTGGCTTGCCAGTCCTGGCGGCAGCAAGTTTTCAAAAACCAATTGAAGAAATGTCAAAAGAAGAGCTAAATGCATGTCTCAAGTGTTTTTATACCTCCGTGAGGAAGCAAGACGGCAGCTACTACAAAACAACCTCCATAAAATCGATCCGTGCCGCCATCGACCGATTTCTCCGTTGTCCGCCTCAATGCAAACCTTTTTCCATCATTGGCGACCCTGCTTTTACTGAGGCCAACAACGGTCCTTGATGCGTTTGTAAAAACCTTACGAAAGTCTGGGAAAATAGCAGGGGTTATCCACAAAAGAGCCATATCACAGGAGCAAATCCAGAAGCTGTACGACTGTGGTGAACTTGGACCGGCCGACAGCCCAAACTCAGCGCAACTACAACGTACCGTGTGGTTTTACCTCGGACTGTTCTTCGGTCGACGAGGACGAGAGAACCAACGTGACATGAAGAAGAATATGCTGGCCCTTAGAGAAACAACTCAAGGTGTAGAGTACTTTGAGCTCAACAGACGAGCGCCTGGTTCGCTGCCTTCTGCAAAGAATCACCAAGGCGGGCTTTCCGATGCTGAAGATGAATCGGACGCGAAAATATTTTCTGTTCCGGAATCTCTGAGATGTCCAGTCAAGACGATCCAGAATTACTTGGCTCACCTTAACCCTGCATCAGATGTCCTTTTCCAACGACCAAGAGATGGCCAAAGTCAGAAATTCAAGCCCGAAGACAGCATATGGTACTGCAATATGCCACTTGGTGCGAGCACTCTTGACAACTTCATGAAAGAAATGAGTAAGCGAGCGGGAATCGATCCACACCTCACCAACCATTGCCTGAGGGCTACGTCTGTCACAGTTCTGTCGGACAATAACTGCGAAACACGGCATATCAAGATGGTAACGGGGCACAAATCTGACCAGTCAATTGAATCGTACAACGATAGACCGTCGCTTCAGCAACAGCAATTGATGTCTTCGGTCCTGAGCGATTTCCTTTCCAATGAAGCACCGCGTACACTGACTACACCTGGGAAAGAAAATGCCAGTACACTGGTCGAAACGGTCGAAACAGCTCAGATGTCAAGATCAGCGGCTCCTGTTCTGGTTCAACACAACCAGTTTTCCACATTCAGCAGCTACAGCGGCTCCGAAGACAACACACCACAAGCACATGGCGCACAGCATCCACAGCCGTACAGTTTTCACAACTGCAATATCCAGATCTACAATAATTTTGGCGGTCCATCCAGCCACTAATCAAGAAAACTGAACTTTCTAAAAAATAGTTTGGCGCTTCACGGTCAGTTATGACAGTTATTTGCGAAAACTTTGTCATTTGTTTTGTTCAACTAGCGAGGTAAACTTTTCGTTTCATTCACTGAGCAGTTGACAACGCAACCACTTCAAGTCATGCGTGACATTTGAAGCATTTTATGTCAATCATTTTTTCATAGAACGTTAACGGAAGTGAATATTTGTATCCGTTTTTTCCAGACGAAATAAAATAAGACGTTAAACTGTTTTTTTTTTGTATTTAATAAATAACTGGCATTGAAGTTTGGTGGAATACCATTCATTTATTACAAACTATATTTGTGTGTGGAACTAATTTTTGGCGGGTTCTAAACATCCACAAAAAAGTTCCCATTTCCTCCACTATAGAAATTAGAAATATTAGGCATTGTCTGAATGTTCATCAAATGGTGCACGTTGTTATCGTTGCTTCTACCATTATCTGAGAACCGAAATCACTGCACAGTGGAACAAGATGTTTCTGTATAGACGAATAAGTGTTGTATTTCTATTACATGTATCAAATAGCAACAACATTACGTTGTATTGCGAAGACATGTAATTCCAATTGTAGACGACTTGCAGCAAATCGCAAAATTAGAACAAGCTTTCGCCAATCGCAAAATTAAATTCCCACAAAAAGTAGTGCCACGCGGTAGGGTGTTTTGCGAGAGGGTGAAAAGTTGTGTTTTTATTTTATCCGGTGAGTTCGTTGGGGGAGGGGGTGGGATGGGGGGGGGGGGGGTAGGGAGTTGTATAAATGATAATTTGTATTACCTAACTGTTTACCTCGTTAGTATTAGGAACTAAAATGGCTTTGAGGAAAGAGATATATCTTAAAAAAATACTTTTAATTCAATTTCTTATTGGTAAAACATTTCACACCACGCTTAACTTGAAAATGCCTTTTCTCGTTATGATCAATTGATAGGCATTCATGCCATGAATAATTGTATAATGTGAGGTTTAAATTAAACGCAATATTTTCCCAGCTTAGCGTGTGTCTTTACCTACATTGATTTTACACAATGAGATAAATAGCAGCTCTACCAACGTAGGGATATTGTTAATCGTTTAATAGTATTGGTAAAAAGCCTTGGTGTCATTAGCGCTAAAGGGATGGACAGAATCAAAGCAATTTTTCTTTCCTTGGCCATTGCATTTGTAACGATTTCAAGGACGACAGAAGGTTTAATTTGCAATGGGATGGCGAATTCTGCGATTTAAGAATTAACCAAGCCACGTTTGCAGGGACTCACAATTCCGGTGCAGGATTCGACGGGATTCTTTACTATCACACAAAGATAGGACTAAGCATACCCGCCTGGAGTTGCTGATACCGAAGCCAAGGACAAAGTATCACCCAACAGCTTGATTGTGGCATCCGGTACTTTGATATCGACACGTGTTTCGTGGACTCGGGCAGTTGGGAACATGGTCCATGGACATGTCACAGCGGGGCCTACGGTGGACCGATCAGAAAATGCTAAAGCAGTTTGACGAATGGATGCGAAGAAATGCTAATGAAGTTGTTGTCATCAAGTTTGGTAGAGATACGGTCAATTCACATGCTCAAAAGATCGGAAGCCAAATTCTTGAACAGGTAATAACGCCATTTTAAGATTTTAAGCCCCCATCTATAATAACCCCCCCTCCCACCCTGCCCTCGGCCCCTCTGAGTTTAGAACTCACCACATGAGATACTCCGTAGTTCAGTGGTTAGAGCATCCGACCGGTGTACAGAAGGTCATGGGACAGGGTTCGACTCCCGTCGGGGACTCTTTCTTTGTCCCACGCTCGTGACAAACTGAATACAGTTACTTTCTGCATTACGACCGAGCTCATTTACCATATTTGCATTTATTTTAACATTTGTTGCTTTAAAATCAGGAGAATTAATTATCTATAATTCCAGCATTTCTCCACTTGTGTTTTTTTTTTCTTCAACAGGTCAAAAACTTATGGGAGCCAACAAAAGAGAAAACCAATTCGAAACAACTCACTTAAGCGACTATCGTAGACGATCCTGGAAATGGCCGACATTAGGAGAAGCGATCAGTTCCAACCAACGACTCTTCCTCTTCATGGATTACCGTCTAATCGGTAACAACTACTACAAATACCGCTGGTTTACCTGTCAAATTATGAAATATCCCTGTCCTGGACATCTATGAACTTGGTTGAGTCTGATGGCTGTAGCAAGATGGTGGGTGTTATTCAGAAGCGATGTGCTGAGTCTTACTACTCCGAGTTCATGGAAGTGGATTTGTTTTTGACTTGGGGACTGTGCGTGAAACATCTTGCCGATTGGTGCAATGGGTACATCGATGAGGTAAGTTTTTATTTATTTTTAAAATTTACTATTATAATGGGTTAGTTGATATTAATATAATAAATCATAGCGATTTTCTTACGCTAAGGCATGGAAAATCATGAAATCTAAGACGATGGAACCAAAGGTGGAGTATCGTCGCAAGGTTAGGCAATTTTTCTGAGCTCGAATATTTTTTTCTGTCTTGAGTTTGTGCAATAATTTGTTTTCACCTTTTGCTTGTGAGTGAGTGAGTGAACTCGCTTTGCACGATTTTTTTTCTACTTTTGCTGTGCAGTTATTTTTTTTGGTAATTGCTAACCATTAGGCCACCGCGTCTCACGCACACAGAAACACGATGCGCAACTACCTGCTCCACTTTTCAGTTCTCGAGGGTTATTTGCACAGCCTTGAAGTTAATAAAACGAATCGCATTGTGTCTTTTTCTAATAGGCCACCAGAAAATGCTTCAATGAAAGATCATCCCGTGGTAGAGCAACCGTGAACTTCATTGTGGTGGACTGGGCAGGGAGGACCTACGGCGCTAACAAGATAGGGGAGGCTGCCAAGCGGAGGAATGTGCAAAATGTCAATTTTTTCCTAAAACGGGGCATGAATAAAGCACAATAGGAGTGCAGAAAAGGCAATAAAATGTATTTGATCCCGCCTATAAGAACTTTTGTGTTGAATACGTGTCCCTTGTGTGAAAGGTAAAGTGCCCCTACCCCACACCCCCAATAGTGCAGCACTGAAAGTCGCAAAACTTCGGAACAAATTAACATTTAAAATCGGTGCTTTACATATAATTTAATTGATTTATTTATCTCCTGTAGACATGTTTACTCCAATAGCAGACTACTTACACCACAATACAAACACTCATGGACCCACAATTCTTAAGTTGCTCCGAAAAAGAGCTTACGCTCTCTAGAAGGGGCTCAGCAGCCACTGTAAAATTTTTGATACATTTAAGGTGGCTCTGAATCCCTTAAACTTGGTAAAAACGATGTATCTTAGCATGTTAGTTATTTAAAAAAGGGGTCACCGAGCTAATGTTCTGAGTTACAAGCATTAAAGCTAATATTACGGGTGATTTATACAGGTTATACTGCTGCTATGGTAACCTATTCTGTCAGGAAGATGATCACAACTTGTTTACAGATGATTGGGAAATCGCTTCATACATTATTTACTCAATTGATATAGGATGGCAGTAGTAATAATCAAAGCACAAGTGCTGTAAACTGTTACCAGCCACCGATCAAGTCGCTACAAGCAAGTCGATAACACAAGCGTTAATTTTCTAATGAGGTATTTGTTCCATTTTGTGAAAATGCTTATAAAATGGTTTCGTTTGATCCCTCATGCAGTTAGGCTCTTCTATGTCTGGAGGTCGGCGATAAAACTTCAGCCTCTCCACGACATCTAACCACTTCCGCAATAACGCGCGTAACAAAACGTTAGCGTCTTCAGCCTGTAGATATAGAAGGACCCACAACTTCGTACGTCTATGTCAACGCTTTTATGACAACAATCATTATATCCATGAAAACACACTGTTCTTGTAACGACGCCTTCATCAAATGTGGGATGACTACCTTTCATCCATCCTGTGAAGTCTGTATCACATCTGTGAGTGGATACACAGCTCGAAGCCATTAGTTTCCCAGCCCGGCCATAAAATCGGTACCAACCTTCTGTTAGATAATTGTCACATTTCTTTCCATAGTAGATAAAATAATTGCGGTGTCGGTCGGAATCTGTGAGAGACTTGTATTGAAGGCATTCGGGGATAACTAAAAATAACAATAAAAAATCCAACAGTTTAGGTGTCTTTTCTCCAATATTCATGACACCTTGACCTTCATTCATTCATTCATTCATTCATTCATTCATTCATTCATTCATTCATTCATCATTCATTCATTCATTCATTCATTCATTATTCATTCATTCATTCAATCAATCATTCATTCATTCATTCATTCATTCATTCATTCAATCAATCAATCAGTCAATCATTCAATCATTCATTCATTCAGTCATTCAGTAGTCATTCATTCAACCATTCATTCATTCATTCAGTCAATCAGTAAACCAATCAATCAATCAATCAATCAATCAATCGTTCGTTCGGTCAATTCATTCAATATACACTATATATGAAAGGGGAGCAGGGATGGCGGAGTAGTGAGAGCACGTACTCGCCTCCACAAATGTGGTCCGGATTAGATTCCAGCCGGGAGCCATAAGTGGGTTGAGTTTGTGTTGTTGTTGGTTCTCATCGTTGCTCCGAGGGTTTTTCGCTGGGTAAACCAGTTTTTCTCCCTCCACAAAAACCAACAGTGGAAGAGAAGCCCGAGCCACTCAGTGGATTTCCACTGAAATTCTATTTATTTTAATTTTATTTTTTTTTTATTTTCGACCTAAGTTTCCAAGGACTACATGATCACCAACCTGTTTCACACCGAATTCCAATAAACCCTGATGGACAATCACACTTGAATCTGTTAGCAAGATCAGTGCATGCTCCTCCGTTTTGACAAGGATTACTGGAACACTCGTTGATATCTACAACAGCAACAGTCGTGTATTAGTAATACAGGCAAACCTCTTTTAAGCGGTCACCCTCGGGAAATAGCTAACTGACCGCCTATTATAGAGGTGACCGCTTAATAGAGGTCAAGTTCACAGTAAGTATGGGGAGCGATTTCCGAGAATTTGATAAGTGACGACCGCTTAATAGAATCATTTAGAAACAACACTGAAAGGGGGAGGGGAAGTTAGAAATGAAATTATTTGTTTATTTTTCAAACGAAGACATGCTTTTGGAATGAATAGAGTGTCTCAACCAGTTTTGCAACTCATTGTAGTCTATCACCGGTTACCCTCATGATTTTATCAGGTTTACTTAACAGTTCGCTATATAGTATCCATTGTTTGTGTTCTGCTGTGTTCTGTTCTGTTGAACCTCTTTCAAAAAGTACTAAAGTCCATTCTCAGAGAGCTGTTCTCAGAGTAGACTGCAAAACAGTCCGTATTTTAGCGAAAGAGTCGAAAAGGATCCCGAAAAGGATCAATTCGCGCGTCGCGCACAATATCTCGAGAAAAAGAGAGACTTTTTTGCAGTCTATTCTCAGAGCGTAATTGATGTCAATCAAACGCTTAGCCGATGATACGTTAAATAAATTTCAATGTGCTAAGAGCGTTTTTTTGAAAAATTCGTGAGTCGATTTTGCTCAATTTACTGCACAAATTAATTAATTATTTAATAGTCCTGAACCGTCTATACTTAAATAATGTATGTATAATTTCCAGATATCTCATAATATGTTACCTGTGCCACATAGTAGTCTGTGAAACCTTGAGTACAAAGGCAGCGGTATCCGTGGGGTGAAAAATCCAGATTGACAAGTACCACCGTTCTTGCAGGGCAAGGAACTGCAATAGTTCTAGTTAGAAATGTATGGAAAATAAATTGATTATGATTACAGCATGGACTCTCGCTTCCAGCTTTCGCGCGGCCATTGCTACAACTCAGGCAGCCAAGTTTAATTGGCTTTGCTAAGCATTTTCGCTGAATCGCCGACCGACCCAACGCAGAATAGGTTCACTTCCACAGAATTTTAGCATAACTTATTGAAAATAGTTCAATGAGCTGAGAACGTGTTGAATAACATTTGAGTAGAATTAAATAGGTCCAAGAGAGAATGATCCAAGAGAAGCATCCCCCCATACATGGGTCTCTTCAGTCCATAACTGAAGCTATTTTAAGAGCGTTACCTGATTGGTCAGGTTGAATGACGTCATGCGGAGCCTCGATCAGAAGGAAATCAAAATAACCTTCACAGCATGGCGCGAAAAGCTATTAATATATTTCAAACAATCATCATTGGGCAGGGGAATCCTTCTCTTAGATCATCCTCTCTTGGTCATTATACCTTGGTTCCACGATAGATGAAATTCGACTTCCTTTTAAGGTCTTGAGGATGTTCAGTATGTGTTGAATTGTTCAGTTCACAGACCTCTTCGCCTGAGGCGCGCTTTCCAAAGTTGTATGAGACACAAGCGTTCTCCAAATAACATTGCACTCTGCACGAATGCTCCGAATTTAACGCAACCGTTTTAATGACGTGATTTTCCAGGGCTGCACCGTCGATGGGATTTGAAAACTGCAATATTCGGCAGTTATCTGCTGTAAAAGAAATATCGATAAATAAATTGTTAAATCAGTACAGTCGAACCCGAATATGTCGAATCCTGGTCTTTATAACTAAGTTTCCGCTATAATGAACGATATTCTTCAGCCCGCCGTGTCAAAGGTACATATGGAACAGGCCCACGACACATTTTCGCGGTCCCTTGGCACTTCGTTATATCGCTAACATCATTTTGTTTTGTCCTAAAATATTAACTTACCGTGTGGCACTAAATTTTGCGGGTTCTAATTTTTACAATTCTTTTTTTTT